GCCCCCGCCTGCCCTGGCCCCAGGTTTGAGTACGCGCCCCAGCACGAGGCGGAATTCGAAGAGATGGTCAAGCAACTCAGGGCCAGCGACGAATGGCGCTACGTGGAACGCGAGGTGGACATCAGGCTCGAGAGGGTCGTCGCTGCGGCTGGCTGAGAGCTGCAGGCGGCCTGGGGTGCAAAGCTTGGTGCCGTGCGCAGGGCGCGAGGGCGGGAGATGCGCCCTTGCGTTGGCGCTCTGGTGCTGCATGGGTGGTGTTTGGTTCGCTGCCGCGGGGTTGGGCCAAGGCGTTGATGATAACGAAATTAGCGCCATTGACGGGGCTCTTGATATCTGAAGTTGTAACCGCTTGTGTTATACGCCGCTACAGCGGTGTCTGTGTGTGTGGGGGGGTCTGCCGGCTTGCAAACGGCTTGCGCTACGGCCAAGAGGCGCAGCGAGAGCATGCCGGTACGAGAACGGGGCTCGGACGATGAACAGAGGCTGGTGACAGGGGCCTCGAAATCCGGCCGGTGTTTGCTGACGTGCATGCAGGGGGGGGGCGTGAGTCGTGCGAGCCGGACCAGAAGCGAGCGGCCTGCTGTTGGGATAAATGGCAAGCGGTTGATCCCCTCTGGAGAGTTGGGCTGCTACCCGCCCCACCAGCTGTGAAGGTGTGCTGTTGACCCGCCACGGCGAGTGGTCCTCAGTCCCAACCGGCTCACAAGGGAATGTGGATGGTGGAATGCTGTGGACACTGTCGCCAAGCTGCAATAATCGGGCCCACAGCATTGCTACTTGCAGTGACTCGCCAGGGCTCTCCTGCTTGAAATCAGGCGCGCGCGGCCCCGGACGCGCACGCAAGCCACCCAGGAGGCTTTACGAAAAGCATCCTTCCATTTGCTGCAAGAACATGTCTTGAGGCGCTCGACAGCAGCTCCGCTCAGCACGCTTACTTTCCGATTCAGACTGTGCCAACTGTGGTACACATACAGCCCCGTCGACCAGTGCTGGTCTGGCCATGCCCAGCAGCCAATGTGTGCAGCAGGTGCTGACGCCCGTTGAGCGACTTGTGGCGTCGTCGCACAAAAGCAGAGTGGACTATTACAGCAGCATGATGCAGTCGGATGGGTTGCAATCCTGCACTAGCCCTGCGCAGGCTCTAAGAAGCACCGCTTCACCCCGCAAACCAAGTCCCCACCGCGTCCGCCAACACTAATGAGGAGCAGGCGTCGCCCACATTCCCCTGAACACAAATGCACCAAACAAACATGTTGACACACCGCAACACCTGCGACACGCCTCCCGACGAATTAAGACACCACACAGGGGCGGCACACGGCGGCCGAAGGAAGCCACGCAGCCCCGTCGCGTTTGCCGCGAGTCGGAGGGTGCCAAACACGGGCGGGCGCGCCACTGGCGGCTCCTCGCCCAAACCTGCCGGCTGCTGAGCCGGCGGCGCACGACGCTTGCTGTGGAGCGCGCATCGGCGGCAACAAAAAAAGTGCTTGCATTTTCTCCAGGGATCTTCGGCCTAGACTGGATGCGCGCCGCCACGCAAGGCGCCTGAAAGAGGCGCCAATTGTGGGGGCCACACTCACCAGGATGGTGGCAACATGCAGAGGGCGCAGAGGGGGCCGCAAGCTTTGACCGATGTTGTTCGTGGTACAGCGACTTTTGTGGGTGGGGGGTTGGCTAGTGAGCCGAGGGCGGAGGCTTCGGGACGCACGGCGGTGGATCGTTTGGTGAAATATCAAGTCAAATGGGCTCCGGCCTGTCTCAGCCGAGTGCCTGGGAAGGCAGAGCGGGCGCCAGGCTGGCGGCGTGTGTTGCCGGTTGCAGGCCAGGGCCGTTTGACGCCACAATTACGGCTGGAGGGGCGGCCTGCTTCAGCAGTCCTGGCCTGAACAAAGCGCGCCAGCAATGCAGCAGGCGCGGCAGAGCACGCACATTGCTTGGGGGGCTGCACCTCGTTTCATTGTGAAGTCGTCGGCCCATCGCACCACGGCTTGTGCGTTTGTGGGGGCAGGGGCGTTTGGTGGAAGGGCTGGTGCCAGGCACGTGCTGCAGGCGACGGCACAAGCCGCTGTGGGGCGACGGCGAGCTGCTGGCTTTGTGCCACAATTGTTGGCGTTGCTGCTGATTGCACGGCCTCGGAGTATGTGGCAGCGCCATGCGCTTCCAGGAGACCTCCTGGGCCGGGCAGGTGCGTCTGCCCACTACAGCGCTGCCGTGCGCCCGCGCCTGCCGCGCCCGCGCGCCACCGCCAGCTGCGCCGCGGCCTCCTGCTCCCGCCCCGCCCGCGCGCCGGCGGGCGGCGCGTCTGGCGCCGCGGGCGCGGCCGCGGCGTCGCTGTTGGCGACGTTGGATATGAAGGCCGTCCAGGCGATGCTGACGACGTTAACATACAGGATGCGCAGGTCAAGGGGCACCACCGTGAAGTTGATGAGCTGCGCCGCCGGCCACACGTACCAGTTAGCAACCAGCGTCGGCACCAGCTGCGGGGCGGCGGGAGGGGGTGGCCGGCTCAGGGAGGGGCTTCGGAGGGGACCGAGAGCGTGCGGGTCGCACGTGATGTGTGGTCGCCGCTCCCGGCTGCCAGCACTGCTTGTGTGAGCTGAAACAGACACCGAGCCTGTTCCAACGCGATCTGCACAACAACCATGCGCACGCGCGCCTTGAAGGCCACGCATGCACGTAGCAAGCGCCGCATCCGCACCTTGGCCCTGATCGCCGGCGCCGCCTCCGCCGGGCGTCCCTCCAGCAGCTTCATGGATGAGAAGAAGAGGCAGTAGCCCAGCGGCGTCTGCAGCGCCTGGTCCAGCAGCACCTTCAGGGCCACCGCCAGCGGGGCGGTCGGCGTGGCCGGCATCACCATCGTGTCCAGGAAGTTGAACCTGGTGTTGTTGATTTGAGGGGGCAGGGGGGAAGGGGGTGGTGAGGGTGGGTCAGAGGCGATCGGCAAGGGGTGCTTCTGGGGGGG